TCCTTCCCTGGATGGAGAGAATTCGCCATCGAATTCGCAGCCTCATTGGTGGTGTTGTCACCGTGATAAGGAATGAGGTATCGAACGTTGAACACATCGGAAGTACGAATATGACTAGGCAACTGCAAACGGTAGGCATTTGAATTGATTTTCTCCAAAATTGCAAGGGGCCCAATTTTTCGTGCTGCCAACTTGTTATATTCACCGGCTGAAAACCTGTCTTTTGTAAGAACTGCCCACACTAAATCGCCAACTTCAAATTCGACCAATCGACGTTTCTTGTTGGCTGTCAACTTATACTTGGCGACTAATTGTTGTAAGTTGGACTGGGTTAATTTGTGCACCTCCTGAAGGTTGTGAATCAACTCTTCTGCCTTCCCATTTATGCGCTTTAAGTCTGGCACAGGTACTAAATCCAGCGGGGCCCGAGGCTGGTAGCCATAATTGACATAGAAAGGACTAAAACCCGTACTTCGATTTACAGAGCAATTGTAAGCGAACTCTGCTTGGTGCAATTTGTGATCCCATGATTTCAAATGATCCGTTACTAAACATCGTAACATGTTGCCCAAAGAACGATTGACAACTTCTGTCTGCCCATCTGTTTGAGGGTGATAGGCGCTACTGAAATCAAGCTTTGTGTTAGCCAAGCGCCACAGACATCTCCAAAAATGACTAAGAAATCGGGTGTCCCTGTCTGATACAATGGACTGAGGGAGCCCATGCAAACGATAGATTTCTCGAAAATATAATTGGGTCACATTTACAGCATCCGTCGTCTTTTTGCACGCAATGAAATGGGCCATTTTTGAGAACCTGTCTACGACCACATAGATGGAGTCACAACCTCGCTGAGTGAGTGGGAGTCCCAAAACAAAGTCCATACTAACGTTAGTCCATGGCTGGTTGGGCACGGGTAATGGCATGTATAAGCCTGCGTTGGTTGCGGATCCTTTGGATACTTGGTAGATGCGACACCCGTCCACAAGCTTGAAAATTTCTTTCCTCATAGAAGGCCAAAAGTAAGAACCAGCCACAAGCTGCAGAGTTTTGTCACGCCCAACATGGCCTTCTTCATGCAACTCCTTGATAATTCTCAATCGAAGACTTGATGCAGGCACACACAATTGGTTGCCTTTGAAGAGGAATCCATCATGGAGAAGAAAGTCCGACCTCTGACCTGATTTAACTTCCGCCACAATACAAGAGAAATAGGGATCAACAGATAATAGTTCTCGAAAGGAATCGAATCCAAGTACTGTATTTCTCATAGTAGTAAGTAGAAAAGAACGGCGGCTAAGTGCATCAGCCACTTTGTTCAAGGCCCCTGATTTATGTTTAATCACAAAGGTGAATTACTGTAGATATGCTGCCCAATTGGCGTGCCTTGAAGAAAGTTTGTCTTGGCTGTTGATGTGCTTCAACGCATCATGGTCAGAAAATAAAATGAATTCACTTTGGGACAGATAAGGATACCAATGTTTCAGGGATTGGACAATGGAATAAATTTTGCATCATAAGTGTTGTAGTTGCCTTTGGAACCGCTAAGCTTCTCACTGAAATATGCAATTGGACGACCCCCTTGGCTCAAAACAGCCCCAATGCCCACTTTAGATAGCTCAAAGGTTTTAGCAAAATCTGGTAATATGAGGACTGGTGCTGAAGTCAATTTTTGTTTGAGTTGCTGGAATGCTTCTGTTGCTGCCTCTGTCCAATAGAATTGGCCAGCTTTCATGCAGTCCGTAATTGGTGCCATAATGGTACTGAAATGGGGAATGAACCTCCGATAGAACGAAGCCAACCCATGAAAGCTTCGTACGTCGTGAGTGTTTTTTGGTACTGGCCAGTCACGAACTGCATTTACCTTGCTTTCATCTACAGAGAGGCCATCTTTAGATACGACATAACCGAGGAACACAACAGTATCGGTTAAAAAGGAACACTTGTTGGTGCCAACATAAAATTTTGCTTCCTGCAGTACTGATAGAACCTGACGCAAGTGCTGAAGGTGCAATTCATTATTAGCGCTATAAACCAAAATATCATCAAAATAAACAACAAACTTCCCGATAAAAGGCCGAAATAGTTGGTTCATCACGCGCATAAAGGTACTGGGAGCGTTTGATAAACCAAATGGCATGACTAGCCACTCATAAAGCCCCTCTCGAGTCTTGAAGGCTGTCTTCCATTCATCACCTTCCCGAATCCGAATCTGATGGTAACCACTTTTCAGATCCAATTTGCTAAACACGGTTGCTCCACTTAACTGATCTAATAAGTCATCCAACCGAGGTATGGGGAACCTATATCGGATGGTGATCTTATTAATTGCTCTACTATCGACGCACATGCGCCACGAGCCATCTTTCTTGGGGGTCAATAGTGCAGGTACGGCACATGGACTGAGGCTTTCTCGGATGTGTCCTTTGGCTAACAATTCCTCCACTTGTCGGCGAAGTTCCTCATGCTCTTTTGGACTCATGCGGTAGTGGGGTCTATTTGGCAAATTTGATCCTGGAAGCAAATCAATTTGATGTTGTATGTCTCGCATGGGTGGTAACATTGGGGGTAACTCCTTGGGAAATACATCATGGAACTCTGCAATTAGAGCCTTCACAGGCTCAGGGATCTTATTCTCTATAGCACTGTCTTTTCCTACTAGTACGAACACCATTCCCGTTTCAGCCACCTCCTCCAAGAACCGGTGCATAGACAATAAGCTAGAACTCTTCTCAGTGGCTAGCCTTGGTGCTTCTTCTCTATGAGGTTCAAGAACAATGCGGATCTTGTTAAATACAAAGGAGTAAGTGTTCTTTCGTCCATCGTGCAATACGTCGCGGTCAAATTGCCAAGGCCTTCCTAATAAAATATGGCAAGCATCCATCTGAACCACATCACACCATACCTTGTCCCTGTAATTAGAACCAATAGATAATGGGACTAAACAACGCTTGGAAACCGTTACCTTCTTGCCTTTCTGAAGCCATGACAGTTTGTAGGGGTTGGGATGTTGGCTTGTACTTATTCCCAATTTTGCTACAGCGTCCTCCGCAATGACATTCTCACAACTTCCGGAATCAATTACGAACTTGCACACCTTCCCACTAATGGTACACGTGGATTGAAAGATGTTGTTTCGTAACCACCCATTCCCTTCAACCTCTCGAGGTGTATAGCAAGCCCTGCGCACAACCAATAGAGGACCCTCATCGCCGGCAACTCGTTCTTCCTTGTCATAAATACTAACTTCGGAATCATTGGTAGTATCTTGCAGAACTTCATTAGTCCCATCTTCGACAATCTCTTCGTTGTCTATGAATAGGCCCTTGCCAATCCGATCACTTTTTCTGCAATCTGCAGCGCGATGACCAACTTCCCCGCACTTGAAGCAACGCATCCCACCA